TCCTCTCAGTCACCTGTGCAATAGTCAAGATAATTGACATAAAAATAAAAAAATATGATATATTCCAAGGATTATTTCAAATTAAACTATTAGTTATAGATCTATACAGTAAATATATACCTTAAAGGACAAACATTATCACAGACATTTAATTAACGAATTAAAACAAACGAACTTTTTCTCATGTTTATCACTGTGAATTACGCAAGGCAACGACAGAGGTAAATATGAGCCAATGGTAGACAGTGTGTGTCTAAGACTTGATATAACAAATTATTGAATAAATCTTAAACAAAATGTGCTCCACTTGAATGATTTTTAAGTGAGTTACTCTTAAGGAACCTCTATTCACTAATGAATTTTTTTTTTTTGGACATTGAGAAAATTATATATAAAGGTGTAAATGCTGTGTCTATCTATTTCATTTTCAACATAAACTACCTGCCATTTACCCCCAGGAAAAATTTTAAAGACAACTTTTTATTGATGAACATAAATCACTGTTGCTTATTTCAATGAAAAAAAAATACATGCAAATAAAGTGATCAATTAATTTATCTTGGCCTAATAAAATGTAAGAAATGTTTGAATTGATTACATATGGAGGTATATATGCTGTAGATTTCAATTTATTAAATTTTATAATATATCTACGAGCAGATCACAATCTAACTGCTTAAAATTACCATGGAATCATAACTCATTAGTGTGCAGTGTATAGAGGGTCATTTAATAAGGGGATATAGTTCCTCTAGTCTAGTTAAATCAGTTAATTGCATTTATGAGGCAAGCTGTAACAAGATGCCACTTGTGTATAGTTCCCCTTCCCAGGTTAATCTTTTCATACCCTCTGTTATGTGATTTTCTTCTAACGCTTCATACTAAAAACCGGTCACAGATATAAGCGATTGATGTGGGTTGCTTCCACACTGAATCTGACTGAGGCACTTATAAATTGCTGTAAGGATTATGATCTGTTCATGTGGTGTTGGCAACAATAAGTTCACTTTGGTCTTAATTTAAACAAATTGCAAGCCCATTAACCACACTTTCCCTACAGGTAGAGTCTATAACATAACCCAGTCACGGATTCCGGGAAAATTATTTCCGGTATGGTTTTCAAATGTACAATTTGCTTTAACACCGAACCCGATTGTATTTTTCGTGACATTGAGGCGGGAAATCCAAGTAAGGAAAGTTCGAGGTATTGAATGCCGTTATCCTTTCATCTCAGCAACTGTATGAAATGGATGAAGAAACAAGGTAGGAATGTTGTATGAAGATAATTATGATATAGTGAATATGCGGTATTCAAGAAATTCTCAACACCTGGATAAAGTTTTGTAAAGATATAATCACTGATAATAACCGGATTCAAAGAGAGAGGGTGCCAAATTTAGTCTAGTGTTAACAGTTTATTATTATTATTATTATTATTTTTTCTTATCCATAGTGACACTTGGAAAGATCTGTTCGATGTAAGATCAACATCACTATCTGGGTATGTGACATCTTCCACAAAATTGGACAGGTTGTTACAGGAGTATGATTATGCAACTTCCTCTAGGTTCCGTTGTTTAAAAAGTTCCAAACAATTTGGAAAGGATGTTGGTAAGGTCTTGTTGCGATATTTTATTTTTAAATGCAACTTTAGCAAAATAATTTCTTGAATCTTCTCATTATTGTAACCATTTTAAGCTCACCTGAACCATAGACTCATGGTGTCGGGTGGTTACATTTTGATTCCGTGTTTGACCTGCATGGTTACGACCTATCAAGTGGTTTTGACCTGCTCACAGGTAAGTACATGGGTAGCTGTATATTGATAACATAATAGCTTTTAAATTAATAATTAAAATATGCATTGTCGATAAAAAAATCCTATGTAGACAAAAACAAAATGTGAAACTGTTTCAAGTGTTAATTAATTGCTTCAGAACGAAACCACTTGTGTTGAACATGGATTTATGTCGAAACCACGCGGGTCGAACAAGTAATAGGAAGGTAACCATCCCCATTCTAGGCTCAGTTGAGCTTATGTGATTGAAATTTGTCCATTGTCTGTGTTGTTGGTGTTTTGGGTGTTGTAAACATTTTAAAAACTTCTCAACTTATTCTCCAGAAAAGTTGTCATGAGAAGTTGAACTTAGAAACTTTTTTATGTATTTGTTCAAAGTAACACCCCCCCCCCCTCCCCCATTATCAGATTCACATTTGTTAATATCAATTTACACTGAAAATTCTTTTGCAATTACTGTAGATGTAGGAGAGATTGATAAATCCCATATCAGATTTGTGGACACACAGGAAAATGCTGAACCCCATATAGAATATGATGCTATCCCTTTCATTATTATGGGCAAAAAAATCTTGGAATGTCACCAGGGATATAACAGAGACAAACGAAACAACAAAAAGAAACAAAGCAAAGCAAGAAAAGATGTAAGTATGCATTATTTATTCTACTTCTAATAAACTAATAATGAGGCAAAGATGAGGACTGAGAAGGATAACCCACTGTCTAGGGTTTCACATTACATTTTATGAGAACTAGACCAGTTGGCCTATGGTATATCCATTCTCTGGGGAACAACATAACCCAGTCAATGAGGAACATAACCCAGTCACTGTTTAACATAACCCAGTCACTATTCAACATAACCCAGTCACTGTTTAACATAACCCAGTCACTATTCAACATAACCCAGTCACTGTTTAACATAACCCAGTCACTGTTCAACATAACCCAGTCACTGTACAACATAACCCAGTCACTGTTTAACATAACCCAGTCACTGTTCAACATAACCCAGTCACTGTTTAACATAACCCAGTCACTGTTCAACATAACCCAGTCACTGTACAACATAACCCAGTCACTGTTTGACATAACCCAGTCACTGTTTAATATAACCCAGTCACTGAGGAACATAACCCAGTCACTATACAACATAACCCAGTCATCGTTTAACATAACCCAGTCACTAAACAACATAACTCAGTAACTGTTTAACCTAACCCAGTCACTGAACAACATAACCCAGTCAATGAACAACATAACCCAGTCACTGTTCAACATAACCCAGTCACTGAACAACATAACCCAGTCACTGTTCAACATAAGCCAGTCATTAAACAACAGAACCCAGTCACTGAGGAACATAACCCTGTCACTGAGGAACATAACCCAGTCACTGTTCAACATAACCCAGTCACTGAACAACATAACCCAGTCAGTGAACAACATAACCCAGTCACTGTTCAACATAACCCAGTCACTGAACAACATAACCCAGTCACTGAACAACATAACCCAGTCACTGTTCAACATAACCCAGTCACTGAACAACAAAACCCAGTCACTGTTTAACATAACCCAGTCACTAAACAACATAACCCAGCCACTGAGGATCATAACCCAGTCACTAAACAACATAACCCAGTCACTGAACAACATAACCCAGTCACTGTTTAAAATAACCCAGTCACTGTTCAACATAACCCAGTCACTGTACAACATAACCCAGTCACTGTTCAACATAACCCAGTCACTGTTAAACATAACCCAGTCACTGTTCAACATAACCCAGTCACTGTACAACATAACCCAGTCACTGTTTGACATAACCCAGTCACTGTTTAATATAACCCAGTCACTGAGGAACATAACCCAGTCACTATACAACATAACCCAGTCATCGTTTAACATAACCCAGTCACTAAACAACATAACTCAGTAACTGTTTAACCTAACCCAGTCACTGAGGAACATAACCCAGTCACTGTTTAACATAACCCAGTCACTGAACAACATAACCCAGTCACTGAACAACATAACCCAGTCACTGAGGATCATAACCCAGTCACTGTTCAACATAAGCCAGTCACTAAACAGTATAACCCAGTCACTGAGGAACATAACCCAGTCACTGGGGAACATAACCCAGTCACTGTTTTACATAACCCAGTCACTGTTCAACATAACCCAGTCACTGAACAAAATACCCAGTCACTGAGGATCATAACACAGTCACTGTTCAACATAAGCCAGTCACTAAACAACATAACCCAGTCACTGAGGAACATAACCCAGTCACTGTTTAACATAACCCAGTCACTGTTCAACATAACCCAGTCACTGTTTAACATACCCCAGTCACTGTTCAACATAACCCAGTCACTGAACAACATAACCCAGTCAATGAACAACATAACCCAGTCACTGTTCAACGTAACCCAGTCACTGAACAACATAACCCAGTCACTGTTCAACATAAGCCAGTCATTAAACAACATAACCCAGTCACTGAGGAACATAACCCAGTCACTGAGGAACATAACCCAGTCACTGTTCAACATAACCCAGTCACTGAACAACATAACCCAGTCACTGTTTAACATAAGCCAGTCACTGTTTAACATAACCCAGTCACTGAGGATCATAACCCATTCACTGTTTAACATAACCCAGACACTGAACAACATAACCCAGTCACTGTTTAACATAACCCAGTCACTGAACAACATAACCTAGTCACTGTTTAACACAACCCAGTCACTGTTCAACATAACCCAGTCACTGAACAACATAACCCAGTCACTGAGGAACATAACCCAGTCACTGTTCAACATAACCCAGTCACTGAACAACAAAACCCAGTCACTGTTTAACATCACCCAGTCACTGAACAACATAACCCAGTCACTGAACAACATAACCCAGTCACTGTTTAACATAACCCAGTCACTGAACAACATAACCCTGCAGTCACTGAACAACATAACCCAGTCACTTTTTAACATAAGCTGGTCACTGTTTAACATAACCCAGTCACTGAGGATCATAACCCAGTCACTGTTTAACATAAGCCAGTCACTGAGGAACATAACCCAGTCACTGAGGATCATAATCCAGTCACTTTTTAACATAACCCAGTCACTGAACAACATAACGCAGTCACTGCACCTTTATCTCAGTTTAGCTCTTTTTGTAGTCTGACCACACATATAGATGAAAGCGTAGATTGGTGCAGAACAGCAAGAAGAAAGCTTGTCCTGTTCGAATAAAGATTCGTCATGTTGTGAAGTTTTCAAGCTATTTGGTATGTATTAATTTGTATTATAGACTCACTAAAAATTGTATCGATAAATGTAATGTGTAAATATGTTCAGTGTTTATGTGTTGATGTACGTTTTGCTGTTTAATATTTTAAATGAATACAAGACACAATTTACTTTTATATAATTTAAAGCTTTCAAGTAAAGAAAACACACCTAATCATCAAAGGAAACTGGTGAAGATTCTTATTATTATTAAATAATTATTAGAAGCATGTGTACATACAGTTTTATTTTGTCATTTCATTTTTGTAGGTAAATATATCTTTCTTTTATTTTAGATATATGCCTTGTTCAAAGGTGAGGCGTTTGGGAGAGAGTTCTACAGTTCTTACAGTAAGTATACACAGTTATAAGAGAAAGCAATTCCCTTTGATTATGTAGAGCTAGGTTTGATAATTTTTTTTAATTGATAAACAAATCTGTGTTTTAGGAGGGAAATGAGGTTTACCCATTATAATATCTTTCATCCAAATATTTTTTTTTCATCAAAAGCTGACAAATAGAAAACTGCCAAAAATGTTTTCTTCAGACCTTTTAACAATATAAGCAGAGGAAAAAAAAAATAGAATATTATTTGATCTTTGATATAAAAATGGCCTATGAACTTTTTAAGCAGAACTTTGGACTTATAGTCACAGACCAAAACATATACGAGTAAACAGTTGTAGTAACTCAGGCAGTAATGAAAGATGCTGTCAACACATACTATCAGAAAACGGCCGGTTTGTCAGATTGCTTCTTTAGTTAAATTTTGTAAGTACCTCAATAACAGGCTAATGCAAAACTTCAAGAGAGATTAATCCCTTGCATATTTAATGAATGAAAATCCAGTGTATCGATGCAAGCAGATCCACTTTTATTTTTTTAGCAGATTATCAAAATTAATGAAACTTGAGATTGTTAAGACATTTTGACGATATGATCCATGTTCTGTAAGGTGATACATGTACCATATATATGACATATAATGCCATATTTACACATATATCTATATAAAAATTGCTACAGCTGTATATGTACATTTAGGAAATTATTGTGTTAATGAGTGTAGTGTAAATTTAAGAGTGTAGTGCTGTTTTTTTTTTTTGTTTTTTTTTTGTTTTGTTTTGTTTTGTTTTTTTGTTTTTTTACATCTAGTCATTTTATAATTTTACTGGACATGCAACCCTTGTATTTTGGTCATAGCGATATAGATGATACAAATGAAAACTCTTATTAAATGTGCTAGTCATTAATTCATCATATTTTTTCCACTAAACAGAAAGCTTCAGAACAGATATCAGAATGCAATGCCTGGTTGCACAAGAGTGTAAAAGCTGAAGTGAGTATAATAATAATAATTAATATACATGCAATTCACACCTTTAGTATATAAACGCATTCCAATGTCTTTCTTGTTACTTTCCATGTCACCTGACCCATTAAATATCTGATGAAACAAATTCTTCTGGTGTCCATCATACTATTTTTAAACTATTTACATTATAGAAATAAAACATTGTTATGATGTTTTAGGGTAACACATTAAATTGATATCCTGTGAAAACCATTGCTGACTGATGCAAAGCTGAGGTCATCAATGGTTTTCAAGGGATAACAATTTCACATGTTACCCTAAAAACATATTATTAGCTCACCTGAGCTGAAAGCTCAAGTGAGCTCTTCTGATCACCCATTGTCCATCTGTTAATTTTTCACATTTTCATCTTCTTCTCAAGAACCACTGGGCCAATTTTAACCAAAGTTGATACAAAGCATCCTTTGGTGAAGGGGAAATTAAATTGTTAAAATAAGGGGCAAACCCCCTTACAAGGGGAGATAATCAAGAAAAGGCAAAAATAGGATGGGGTCATTAAAAAATCTTCTTAAGACCACTGGGCCAGAAAAGCTTAAACTCATGTGGAATCATGCTGGAGTAGTGTAGATTCTAAATTGTTAAAATCATGATCCCCGGGATAGAGTTGGGCCACAATAGGAATCAAATTTTTACATTGAAATATATATGAAAAAATCCTTGGAGATCTCCTTTTCAAGAACCACTGGGCCAGATATGCTGAAATTTATGTGGAAGCATCCTGGAGTAGTGAAGATTACAAATTGTTAAAATCATACTCCTGGGGGTAGGGTGTGGCCACAATAGGTATAACATTGGGGAAAGTCTGGTGAAGAACAGCAGGGCCACAGTTACTCAGGTGAGTGTTGTGGTCCATGGGCCTCCAGTTTTTATAATGTAAATAGTTTAAAGATATCATGATGACACCAGGCAGTAATGGTTTTCAAGGGATAACCTTAAAAATTTAAATATTTTCCTTTGTTATACCAAATCTATTTAGAATAAAGCATTTAAAAAAAAGAACCCACAGTAAACCGTACGGGCATACATTCTGCCCAATTTTGCACTGTTACCCGTCGTCATGCAATGTCACCGTTGCTATGTAATGTTACGTGGAGGGCATAGTTTACACATGCGGTAGGGTAGCAGTACTTTTTAACAAATGTTTTTAAACCAATCAAATTTGACTTAACATAAAAGTATAACAATAAGGTTTGTCTATATTGTTCATGAAAAATTAACATTTTTTGTTTATAGACTGAACAGTCCATGAAACTGGTTAACATTTTGTGCGAATGGCCAAGGATGGATCTTCCCATAAACAAGGGAACAGGAATTTTATACAAGGCTACAATATAGCAACGATGGTAATTTTTAGTATCTATTGCATGCATGGTTATCTAACAGCCCTGGGTTCAGAATTTAATTCTGTCTTATTTATCACTCAATTTTACTGTTTATTTCACACAATCATATGGTGTGATCTGACTTTCTGATCAGTTTTCTGAATCCATATCAACACTTTCTGAAACTGACTCAATCTTCAGGTCAAGTTTGAGAAATTTATTAAGAATTGATGTTTAGATATATAAACAGCATGATATATATATAAAAGCTCAACAATGAAGATTATAGTTAAAAAGGGGATAGTATAGCCTGCTCTAAGTGATTAGTAATAGTTCTATAACACTACCTGTTTATGGCAGAGAGATTTTCAGGAGAAAAATTGCCTATAATTATTTAAAAATTTTAACAGTTTGCAAAAGACATCAAAACAAAGCTGAAGGAAATATTGGAATTAGAAGAGGGTGATAAGAGGTAAATAATAAACATTGAAAGCAGCCTATTTACCTTTAAATTGTCTTCATTAAATTTATGGGCAATAAAATGATATTCCATTTATTGGAAATTAAAGAGATTTTATGGTATGTCTTTCATAGTTTAAGTCAACACTGTTTCATGCACTTTGGTTTACAAGATGTACCGTAACAACTGGTTAAAATTAAATTAACTTGATCGAGTGTTATAATATTCCTTTTACAGGTGTTATGAACCACACTGGAGACATCTGCGATGGATTGACAGGAATGACTTGACCGACCATAATGTGATGAATAACTCTGTGAAAGGAATGGAAGAAAGAAATAAACTTTTTCATAAAGAGGTAACATCCATATGTACTCTCTGTAGATTTTAATGTATAAGCATACAATGTATTTTACAAGGCTAGTCCTGCATATTCTTGCTCATGTGCAGGTGTTGTTATGGATACTGATTTATAACATGATTGTTTTCTTTTTTATTGAGTCTTTCTCTACTCATGATATATATATATATATATATATATATATATATATATATATATATATATATATATATATATATATATATATATAGTTATACAAGAGGCGTGTTATGGGATATTTGGCGTATCTCAGACTCACGTTGTGGGATCCTTAGGTGGTTTATGGGTCATCTATATTTTGACCCATAAACCATGTAGTCTAAACTTCACAGAAATGTTGGAAATGCTATTCCTACCATAAAAAACAAAAAAAAATATTTTTTTTGACCCATAAGGATATATAGAAAAATGTCCCACAACGCAAAATCTATTTTTAGAACAGTCGGTCTAAGTCCCTCGCTTTCAACATTTTGTGTATCTATAAATGTCAATTGGAATATCCCACAATACGGTGTAGCGATACACGCAATGCATTGTGGGAGGACAATGGCGGCGTTTAGCAGGGGTAAAGAGCTGTAAGACAGTAAGTATCTTGTTATTATTTGTAGAGCAATTGAATATAACACATATTTATGATAATTAGACGAGAGAACGAGGGACTTTCGAACTTGTTTGATCGTAAGCACAGTTTAAAGTTGGTCGCGGGTTTACTGCATAAAAATTCTTACGGGAAAACATGTTCAGAAAAATTTGACATAATGTTCCTTAGAATTTGCGGCATATTATCTGAAATTTTTATTAAATTTGCCTACGTGAAGATAAGTAGCATATCTCCTCTAGTATTATGAAATTCATAATTCTGCTCACAAAGTCAGAATGAACGGTATATTGATGTAAACATTCTTCGTGCATTAGAATTAATATGCAGTAACTAGTGGTGGGAATCGGTAAGAATTTCATAATCGATGATCGGGCTACTGTAACTAACTAATTATCAATTATAATCGGACATTTACAAAGTCTGTCAATTTAGTTTATCAAATGGTAAGAATGGATGAATAACTACTTTCTGTGGTGGTCCAGCTGTAGTTAGAATAATCTAACTGTGTTTCGGGACAAGCCCTAGTCCTTAGGACAATATTTTAACAATAGAACGTTCGATCTAGTCCAGCTGGTTCTTCATTCATTTTGTAGAATCCAAAGTATGTCCATACCCGGGAATTAGCGTTGTTACCCGGGTATGAATACAATGTCTGTTCGTCTGCGCCATTACGATACACAAATAAGTTAATAGAAAAGTCGCGGCTGGAATATTTGGCTTGAAAACTATTACGCTTGTAAAATAAAATAAATAACCCGATTAATCGGAATAGAAATTTTGTAATCGAGCGCTTGGATTATGCCAACAATCGACTGATTTTCGATTATAATCGATGATTGGAACACCACTAGCAGTAACACTGGGATAGATAATATAATACAAGTAATGTTAGGATGTTCAAGTTCATTATTAAGAATTCAAGTATAACACGGTAAAGGGGAAAAAAAAGTCCACCATTGAAGGGGGGTGGGGGTTATCGGTAATGTTCTTTTTAAGTCAATCGCAATTCAGTATATAGTCAGAACTCTCAAACATTTGTTCTTTCTTGTTTTTTTTTTCTTTATTAATTTTTCATCATTAAAAAATGTAAAATACTTGCATTCAGCTTAAACACAGATAGCTTAATTTTGTTATAGAAAAAATTGTACTTGAAGTCTTGATACTTGTATTTCGTAATACATGTACAGTATATTAATATCTGTTTAGAGTGCCATAAAGGTCCGATATGCTGGGTGTTTGTATGAATTCATTTTAAGGGGATGAAGGACACATGGTCACATGACTCTGTTTAACTACATCATTATAGTCTCCGTTTATATAAGTGCAATATGTGTAAAGCATTAATTCTTGTATAATTTTTTGACAATTTTTTAACTTTAATTACCATCTTATATAAAAAAATTAAAAAGTTTTTACGTTCTTGTAAACATTAACAAATTATGAAAAAGATTGATCCACTCCTCTGTTTCCCTAAACTGCGTGTCCAACAAGTCGGTGACGTCATACATGATCTGTTAGTACAGCAAGATCATACTCGGTGAACACAGGGGTGGTATTACAGTGGTTCCCGTTTTATCGAATAGTCAAGTTGTCAGCATAGTTTTATCCGAATAGCCGAAAATTAGAATAGCCGATTGCTCCATACCGAGTCCAAAGATAGATGTATAGAGCTACATGTATTGATAATACATCGTAGCTAGCAAATTTCAAGCTTGCACTTTTGTTTTCTTTTGACATGTTTACTTAATGACTTTACTAAAAATAATTTATTTCACTTACTTATGAATTTAATATGAAATTTTTTTTCAAATAAATTGACGTATAGAGTATATTCTTTGACAGTTATTGCCATCTTTCTTCAGCACATGTTTACATTCCTTCTTCGATGGTCGCCATTTTGGAAAAGGAAGTAGACTAAATGCTTGACTAATAACCGTAAACTATTTTTCCCTGGATAGATTGTAAATTAAAAATGAACAAAAATGTTAAATATATGTAATTGTTTCCTTTTGATTTGTTTCTTTAATACGGTTACGTATTTTATACTGTGTTTGAGTTTACCAGTCTCGTTCTTGTCTGCTGAAGAGAGATTTTGAGAGCCATGTCGAGAAAGTTGGTATGAATTTTGAGACGTATTTTTATAGAACGAGCCTTTTGTGATTTTTACCATAAATTTTGCACTGAAAAGTGAATAAACATTAAGCCAATTTACCAAGTTAAACGATTGAATAGGGTTATTTCATTATCCAAGCAAATTGTCATACACAAGCTTATCAGTTCAATAATTAAAATTTCACGCTGAAAAAATTGCAAATAACTGTCATAATTAACAAGTGCATCATTGAACCCAAGCTGATCACCACAACTGTAATCAAAACATATCTATTTACTATGCCCACTATTGACACAGGTAAGGTGCCTGTGTGCGTCCAGGCGTAACTAATCCCCTCATTGTCGTACTCAAGCCAGTCAAGGTAATTGGTGTCAAACTGTGTAAACAAAGGCTTCACATACGAAGGTGGAGCAGGGCTCGACATTAATTTTTTCCCCTACTTGTCCAATCGGGCAAGTGACCAAGACATTTACTTGTCCGAACTTCAACTTCACTGGTCCGAAATTTGTTCAATAAAGATACAATACTGTCAACTTGAAAACTAATATAAAGTCCATTACATGTGATTCATTCGTGATGTTATTGATAAATACAACAAACACATAAAAACAAACTTTTATCTAGACTTTCTATCCTGACAACAACATAAATGTTCACAAACATCAAACAGAACCTAAACTTCGTAACTCGACGTAACTTCATGCCCTCCTTTGCAGTAGTATGCAATTAGTGAACTTCGATCCCGATCGAGTGTGAACTCAATTACATAGCGATCCATATTGGGTTCGAAGTTCGTTTTTTTATGTACTGCTTACGTCTTTACTGATGAACTTTCAGTAGTCGTTCTTTATATTATTTGAAGACTTCTTTATATTAAAATGCACTTGTCCAATCGGACAAGTGCCCAGCAATATTCACTTGTCCGTAATTTTTTTTCGCTGGTACCGGACAAGCGTTAATGTCGAGCTCTGTGGAGGTGTGAACAAGGTGCTGATTATCAAAACACACTATGATAGTCCAAATTTTTGTATGGGATAAAACGAAATTCCAGTATTTTTTCATCAGAATATCAGGTGAAATTATTAATAAATATATAAGAAATGGTTTTGTGCTCTGATATTATATTGAAATAGCCGAAATATTCGTTAAACCGCTATCCGATAAAATGGAAGCCACTGTATTATGTAAAAACAGTTCATAATCAGTATATGATGAAATATTTTGAGAAATGGGGAACACAAAAATTATTTTTGCATGGCTGATGACGGAAATCATATGTAGGTATATCTTATTTCGCTTATTTAGCTTACCTGTGACGTCATAGTTGGTTTTTCTCGTAGTCGAGAAATGTAACATGACACATTTTTGTCATGCTTATGTCCTCTTTAACGATGTCCTGTGAAATAATGAGGTCAGCTTCATCATTTGAAATTTTTACAGTTATTCAATAATTTGAAGAATTCGCATTTCAACGTAAATTAAAAAATATTGAATGATAGAATTTTTTGTAAATTACGTTTTTTATTGTTTAAGTTGTCTTAAAAAGTACGTAATTTTCCCTATCCAGATGCAGTGTGATAGACAAAACTTGCTTTTTTGAATTTTAAATCCTAGTTATACTCTGAAATAATTTAAAAGATACATGTCCACTTTGATATTTTTTACATATGCTTAAAAAATCCCATTAAGGACAGAGTAATTAGCCCGGAAACATGGAGAATTAAAACTCCACTTAGATACAGTAGGGCATAGTAATTGTCAATCAATATCTCCAAAATAAGGTAAGAAACCTAATGATATAACTGCTTTAAGATATGTGGGACATACTTAATTAGAAATATACAAAATATGAAAAAAATTGAATGACAAGTATTTTTTCAGCTCAAGGTCCTTCTCCTCCTTATTATAACATGTTTAACATGCATTTCACTGATAAATCAATTCCTTGCTAGCCTGCTTATAAATAGAGAACAACTTTATTAGATTCAAATACAAAATATTTTTTTAAAAAAGAGGAAAATGCATTTAATTAAATTTCATCCATTTTTAGTGTTTAGGGTTGATGTTATCCTTAAAATAACAAATGTGTTTTTTTTTTTTTGGCTGTGATGAGCAAACATGGTGCATTACACACCTTCCCTTCATTGCAAATTTATGTGCATACATACAGCCTTTCAATTTTTCAATGTAGCAACTTACTGAAAAACCGTTACTTTCATTTTGCATGCCATATATCTTTAACACTGAATCAATTTGATTGACCTTTAGTAGTTTAGTATCATTTTCAATATAAAATGAATTCCATGCATTTTGCATCACATTTATTATGTTTTATAAGTTTGTTCTTATACATTACACATATAATCAGAGCAGAATTAACTTATAATCCTCTGGGTTCATACATACAGTGTGCGAAACTAATCTGGAGAATGAAATAGCCCATTTGACTATCTCATTTGAAATTGGGATAGACCGTAGACAAATAGGACTGTCCAAAGAAAGTACATTAGGAAAAAATGTGCTCTTGTTATTGTTAGATTTTTTAAAATTTATTCATTTATATTCTTATTGAAGTATCTGCTATATATTTTCATGATTATCTAGTGAAAATTAAATAAAATCATGCAGTGTTCATGCATTTCACACCCCAAAAAATTGTGCAATTATTCAGACTCAACGTATATGAACTTCACTCTGCAGACCAGCTAATATTTGTGAAAGACACAAACTCTAATTTCATCTTTATAGCTTTCCCTTTTCTCGGATTCATTATTTTATTTTCAATTTTTTTGGTTGTCTTTTTGTTGATTCAATTTGTGTTTTAATGCAGTGCTTCCTGCAGTCAGGATTTGTAGCATGCCTGATATAC